TATATTATATGTGTATTTATTGTAATATAATATTTCTTTATTTAGATTTTTGGGTGAAAAATTACTTTGATGAATATTCGTTAATGAATGTGTGGAAAATTGGTGATGCTGTTCATCTCTTCCAGGCTTGCAGTAGAAGAAAAGGCGGCTTGTATTGCCCGCTGCTCAGGGGAGGAATGCAACAGCATAGTAGAGGAAACGCTGGCTGAGGAGCTGGCTGCAATGGCAAAAGAGATCCTGGACAATGAGTTGAGGCGCGTCTGCAACTTCATCAAGAGGTTTAAGGAGCTTATTATTTCTCTTTATGTGGATAAAAGAATCCCTGGAGCAGCAAATAGGTCTCCAACAGAAACCTTTAAAGAACAGACGTATGCATATACTTTAGGTGGCGTGACGTGGTAGCCGTGCGTCGTCAGCTAAAGAGGCAGATGCGTGGTTTCCCTGCAGCCCCTGGCTGTGTAGATCCACGGTTCAAACTGAAGGCTCTCGTACCCAGTGCCCCTTCCGACCCCTCTCTGGACCTCCTGGCCCAGGGGATGGTCAACCTGGGTAACTCCGGCAACATGGCGGTTTCCTGCACAAGGTCTGTTATTGGAGATTTCAATTTTTTTTGTGGTGCTTAGATATGTTTTTTTTTTTAAATGCGTCTTAATGATTGTTCCTGGCAATGACCTTTAATATTATAGATTGCTGAAAATGAGACAGGAAGCAGTTCATCAAATGAAAGTGTCCTACTACTACAATCTCTTACTGAGGTCAGTACAGTGGGGCGAAAGTGTGGCATAGATGTGCAGAATGCAGATAATTTTTATCACCATGATTGTATGGTTAATTATCCTTTGGCAGTGAGCGTGTATGGATGCCTCTTGACCTGCCCACTCTTGTGGCAGAAAGCACCCCTAATGCTCCTAACAGAATCTTCTGGAAAGCCACGCTTCTGTTGCCAAGCAGCTGTGATAGTGACATAAGTTATGCAAGCAGGTAAGGAACGAAATTGTAGGAAAATTTCTTAAAACATGTAAAATCATAACTGACCTCTCTTGTTTTTTGTTTCCATGCAGGATTCTGACAAACTGGCTTGAGGTTAAAGTGGGTGGAGGAAACCAATCCGAAGAGACTGAGAAAGAACTCAAATGGCAACTGAAAACGCTGTGCATCAGTCACAGCCTGACAAATATTAGGGGACAGACTCATGAAGTTCACATTTCTATAAAGGTAAGCTTCAGAAGGAATAGTTTTCCTAGAAAGTTCAAATTCTGTCCTTATTTACCCAGTTAAAGTGAGGTATTGAGCAGAAAATGGTCCACGGGGAAAATTCCAACTCATGAAATGAAGCTCACTAGTATCCAGTTATCCAAATGTCTCTGCATTGACTTGACTAACCCCTGTGTGCAGGCATGTCATGGCCCTCTGAGTGCAGAAGGCCAATGTCTGCTGGAGGAACAGAAGGAGCTCCATGGTACCAACGCTCTGTTGATGCTACTTCCCTCTCTCAGTGCTGGACAGGGTGAAGAGAATGAGGATGTGTCCCTGCCCCCTGCCCTCCTTCAGCTGAGGCAGGTGCAGCAGGCCAGCTGCTGGCACTGTCCTGTACCACTGGTTGTGGTGGTTACTGGCAACCAAGAGGGTGGTACTAATGATCATGGTTTGGAAGAAGGCAAGTTTTGTAGTAAAGACGTAGTATAATAGACAATACTGTTAAAGACTGCAATCTAATTATTTTATTGTCTCTCTCACAGCACTCATGTTGAATATGTTAGTCAAAGATGGTCTCATCTCTGAATACATCTTCGTCCATATACCTGCAACCCTCACTGACCTGCAAGGCTCAGAGCAGGTTGGTCTACAAAGGAATATTGAGAATGCACAGTTGTTCTTATTAAATATAGTTAAAAATATTTGTGTTAGGGATGCGTGATATATGTGGTTGTATCGGTATCCGCTTATATATGTGACCTTTTTATTGCTATAGTTATTGGCTCAAAAAGTAAAATAGGGCGATATAATTAAGGTGATAAATTGTAGCCAAATAATCATTGCGGACCCACATTTCATGTTGGCTTATCTATTTTAAACTCAAATAAATATTATTTTAAACTTTTTTTTTTTTTTTTTCTTCAATTTACTTTTTTAAAGAGCATCTGAAATTAAAAGTAGATTCCACTGTTGTAAATAATGTTTGGTGTCCTTTAAAGCAATGGATAGATGCTTTTAATTTTTTTTTTCAGACAAAATGCAGATTGATATCTTCAATCCACCAATATATTTATTAAAAATGTAACATGGATTATGTATTTACACATTCTTTTTATAATTGATCTGCTTCAGATGAGCGATGTCATCAGGTGGCTTGCTGCCCACTCTCCCGCTGGCCCAGTCCTGTCCTCTCAGACCCTTCTGCAGGTTGTTGAGTTAGGCCTGTGCCGTGAGTTCTACTCCAGACTACAACGAGACAAGCAGGGCAGGAAACATGCGGGCCTTCCGTCTCAGCACCCGGAGCCTATCGTGCAGCTCTGTAACAGTGTGCTGAGTTTCCTAGCAGGTGTGGTTTCGTCAGAGCATCTGTCCAGTCTCTGCTGGCCACCTCCTGAATTCTCTCTCCCCGAGAACAGTGAGCTGATTCCTCATCATTCCTGGAACTCTCCAGAACACCTGGAGTGGCTGAAGAGAACCATCCTCAGCCGGCAGCTTCCTGAGTGGGATCTGCCTCCCATTAGTGGTAGGTTTTGTTTTAAGTACCAATTTGATGTAATCAATTTTGTTTTGCAGAATTTTCATAGTTCAGGTAAAAGTTTAGTACTTTTATTGAGAAATTAAAACTAATCACTTTTCTTATTTCTCAGCCTCCTGGCCACATTTGTGTGCCTATATATTCCAGTATGTATCCCAAATTCCTACCTCACCCTTAAGCCAACCTATTCTAATGTCCCGTCTGGAGAACCTGCTAAGAAGAGTGAACTACCAATACTTTCATGTGAGCGGTGCAGATGAGGATGACTATGAGAAGATTGGACCGTCCTTTCACGAAATTCCCTGGGATGAGATCATATGCCTGTGTGTAGAGCATCGTATGAAGGACTGGATTTTGGAACCGCTTGTGGCAAAAGGTGAGAATAACAGATTGGTAACGGAATGCCAGTTATGAGCTTTGAACATGTTCCATTGTTTAAAAATGTATGTTTTGACTCTTATAATCACAGATGCCCTCACGGATGATGGTGAGATTCTTGTATACTTTAACAAAGACAGCCTGAAGAATTTCCAGCCCCCTGACAGTTGGATAGAGGCTGTGAAACTGACATATCAGGAAAAACGGCAAGCCTCAGAAGTGTAACTATCACTCTTCTACATATGTATTATTCACAGTATAATCTTATATTACATAACAGTCTTACAGTAAAAGATTCAAACAAAATCGCAACGTTTTCTGATAGATCAAAAGTCAGGCCCCCCACTACGGCCAGACATTTCCCCAAGCAGAGGCTGTTCCAGAGTCACATAAACACGGAAGAATGGCCTTCTGTTTGTGATACTGCACAAATTCCAATATTGCAGCGCTTTGAATGGATTCTCTCTTCCATTCGCGATATGAACGCTGAAAGCCAGAGGTTAGCATTAATAATTTTAATATTAAAATTACATTTTTTTTTTTTTTGCTTGGATGTTTGCAGTAACCATTTCTTAACATATCAGTAGGATTGGAGAGCGGCTACAACATCGGATTGAAGCAGAACCTTTGTGCCCTTCATCATTTCCTCTTACCCTGACCTCTATTTCCGTGACCATGACCCCCTCCCGAAAGCATCCTGCTGCTGGCACTGTTTATATACAGGTAGAGTTATACCAGAGACACCTTCACAACTGGATTAATATACTTGCATTACTATAATTGCGTTAAGTCTCAATTTTTTGTGTTTTTAAAGGAAAATGAAACCGCTGACCTGGCTGAGAAAATATCATCTCCTAGCAAAATAAACGGACTCTTTGATGCAGACAGCGCACAGACTCCCATAATGGAGCGACTTCAGCGTACTCTCTCAACTGTTCAGGAGATGAATGCTGAGGGCCAGAGGTTAGCTTAAATTTTTTTTAATGCACTAAACTGAGTTTTACACAAACTTGAGAAGATTTTAGATCAGTATTTGTACCCTATTCCGCTCCAAACAGTAGTCTCATTTTACACCTTTTAAATTGTAATGATGCATTATGGGATTTTGTCAATTTTATTCATTTTGTTTATATGCATATCTAGAATCGGAGAGCAGATTCAGCGTCGGATTGAAGTGGATTATTTGTCCTCTGCCTCTTTTCCTCTCTTCCTTCCCTCCACCCTCCTCTGTGCACCTCCTCTAGTTAGGACCTCCTCTTCCAAGCACCCTGCTGCTACCATTCACATACAAGTACAGTATTCTAGCGTAACTGTAATGAATACCTAGAACTAATATGAATTTAAAAAGCAGCTTTAATTATAAATGCTTTAAACCGGCTTTTGTTTTTTTATTTGAAGGAAGTGGAACAGACTGCTGCATCGTTTGAAAAACACAGACCAGTGTCTTTGTTACAACGTTTGCAGGACTTGAAAAGAGAGTTGTCGAGTCAGAAAGAGGAGGAACGTGTGTGTGACCTCAAGCTGACGTGTCTTTTAGACATTGTAGAGAACTGAAGATGCTTCAGTGTAACAGCAGCTGCTGAATACCACTTCCAGTCTCCCAGCTTGAAAGAAAATGTCCTTTACCTGCTGCTTATTGGTCTCAACAGTATTTATTTTTGCCGTTTTTAAGTTTGTTTTGATTCAATCCATTTGCTTAAGTCGTGTGCCTCATCCATTAAGTTGAATTAAATCTTAGTGTGAATCTCCTTGTACTTAAACACAAATTTAGAACTGGTTCATTTGTTTGCATACATACTTTTCAGGTTTATGAATGATAGAGTTGAATGTATTTTGTTCATCACAATAATTCTGTTGTATTTAATTGTATATTTTTGGACAACCATAAAGATAGTTTTTATTCAACTACAGGTCATGAGGTGATTAATTATTCATGACACTCCAAACGTGGTTTGTGTAAAGTGGCAATTCACACCCATTTTGCGATGTTTCTATCTTGTGATTGGAGGGCCTGTCCTCTGGTCATGTCTCTCTATGCGATAGCGCTGCATTCCGACCGCGATAAGCATTATGGGAAACATAGTTTCAGGATAAAACCCATTTCCATGATTATACCGTTTTGAGAACGATTTAAGGAACAAAGAACTACATTTCCCAGGCTGATTTAAAGGAGGCGTTTACCTTCTCGATCAGCTGAAATATGATGGGTTCTTTTCAGCTTACAAGTTTTGCTCATGCACTTCAAAGATGACAGAGGGAACGTGAGTATAATTAATATTTGCGATTGCTTATGTTATTTTAATACGACGCAGATATCAGGTGAATACTTCCCATAAAGACACATTTAACCGAAACTATATATTAATTTATATATGAATTTTAATTATTATTATACGTATCAATGCCCTATAACGCATACAATAAGCATATCTGTAGATGTTGTCTTTATTATCATATAATTTATATAAGTATATAATATAATTTATTGGAGTCATGAAACTACAAGGTGTTTATTTTATTGTATTTTATTTAATAGAAAGTCAATGCCAGTATTTCGTTTTTTACTGACAACTAAATTTTAAATAAAGTAATGAAAAAGAAAAGATTTTCATTGTTATTTTTAGATGCACATCAACTTTTTAAACATGGAAGGTTTGAAAAGTGTTACTATACTATGTTACTATGTCCATCCAAGTGTAACATTTCAAGGTTTGATTCAGGTGTCTGCAGAGAAGGGGAGGCCCCTATAAGACTGAGTCGGTGATGGATCTCAGCCGCTGGAGGTTGAGTAATGTGGAAGGCAGACAGACTTTGAGGTACATTGAGGAGGCAGACCATGTGGACAGACAGCAGAGCATGCTGGAATCTCACTCTCTGGGACTGGACGTGGTAAGCATGAACATTACAGACAAGTGTACAATGGCGTACGTTACATTCTTATATTCATGTTCATATCTAATCTGTTTCTCTTTGACCTCAGGGTGAGTTGGCATCCCCTGCCGCACTGACTGCAGTAGAAGCTGCACTGAAGGGAATGGACTTCTACAGCTGTCTCCAGGCTGAAGATGGACACTGGGCTGGGGATTATGGTGGACCACTTTTCTTACTTCCAGGTCATTCATTTATAATAAGCTGTTTGGACATAAGCTTTCTTTGTTTAGTCATTAGATGAAAATAAATATTATGATAATATATAAATAGTAATTTATATATAATATAAATAAATAATATTAGTTGATTAACTCATTCATTTTTAAGGTTATTAATGGAACTGGGAAACCTAGAAATATCAGAGAATTTTAAAGCTAAATTGTCCTTTTGTCTTATTGTTGATGGTTTTCAGGTCTGCTCATAACCTGTCATATTGCGAAGATCCCTCTGCCAGATGCATGGAAGCAGGAAATGGTTAGATACCTTTTAGGGCCTGTGAGTATTAATAACACTATCTGTTATTATATGGGATGAATCTCATGATACCTTACATGAACATGTCCAGATTATATTTCACTCACAAATCAAATAGTGAACCAAACTGAGACCATTTTGAAGGCTCAGGAAACCTTTGCAGGTGTTTTAGTTGATTAGCTGATTGGCATGTCACCATATTCTAATTTGTTGAGATAGTGAATTGGTGGGTTTTTGTTAAATGTGAGCCAACATCATCACAATTAAAAGAACCAAAGACTTAAACTACTTTAGTCTGTGTGCACTGAATTTATTTAATACACGAGTTTCACAATTTGAGTTGAATTACTGAAATAAATTAACTTTTCCACGACATTCTAATTTATTGAGATGCATCTGTAAATAAGAAATTAGAAGGAAATCAATTACTGTAATGCAAAAATAAAACTGTTGATGTATTACTACATTTATACATCATGATGACAGTATTTTATTTGTTGTACTGACTTTATACTGATTTAAGTTTTTTCTCCACTAGCTTACTTGTAATATTGTTGGCTCTTTGACAAAATGCTTTGTTCCTTTTTTGTATGTTGTTTTGGATGAAAGTGTCTGCCAAATGCATAAATGTAAATTCACCTGAATAAAAATAAAATCACTGGATTAAAATTATTATTTTTAGTACTGTTAAAGTAATTAGAATCAAAGAACCATTGAGAATAATGTATTTTTTTGTAATTATCAATCACATTTTTTTTTTATAAAATAAATGTTTAGATGCTTTAGATAAATGATGATTTGGAGGGAAATTAGCATAACTGTCATGAATATAACATCATAATGCTAATAATGTCAATAATCCTAAAAATTAAGTAAAATTAGTCATGTTTTGTCATTTAAAGGGATAGTCCATCTACACTGTAAAAAAATTTACGGTAAAAAAAACAACAGCTGTGGTTGCCGGAATTTTACCGTAAAAAATGCAGTAGCAATGTTTTAAGTTTTACGGTTTTAACTTAAATTTACAGTGTACAATGTTAATATACCAGCCTATTGAAGTACTTAAATCTGTTTTGTTCCTTTGTAATACACTGATAACCACCAAATGCAGGTGGTGATGAGAAAGTCACATGATGAACCAAAGCCCATCACAAGCAGCTTTTAAATAATAACATATATAGAAGGTGCACAGTGTCCTTCACACAAACACTAAACACCATCATGGTAACACATAAAACTGAAATAATGCAATAAACATTAATTTAACAACATTAGGTGTAACACACAACCCTAATATACAAACCTGATAAGAAAAAACTAAGAAACAGTTATTTCAAGAAAAAAACATCAAATTTGAAATGTAACTCAATTTGGAATGTCAATTTATGGTTATTCATTGTAAATTATACGATCTTTTTCACTTCCGAGAACGGTATACTACCGTAAAATTAATGTTCAATACATTGTAATGTCCAATACAGTTTTTCACCGTATATAGTAGGGGAATTTACCGTTAACCATTTAACAGGTTTTTACTGTAGCATTTTTACAGTCTTTTACTGTTAAATTCACCGTCATTTTTTACAGTGTAAAAATTAGTATGGATAAATAAATGATGACAGAGTTTTGTTGATCAATATGTTGGTACGCTGGTATGTGGACGGACCCACATCACCTGCCTTTCAGGAGCATGTGTCAAGGATTCCTGACTATCTATGGTTCGTAGCCTGATTTTAATAATGTCCTATTTTATATAATTATAATAATAATAATTGGTTTCTGTCTTCCTTTTTTTTTTTTTTATGCCCCAGGCTGGGTCTGGATGGTTTGAAAATGCAGGTGAGAGGTTGTCATTATAAGGAATTTAACCTTTTTGGCTTCTAAAGTTTGTTATTCTGATCAGTTAAGCAATTAAAATTTTATTATTAGCAATAATAATAACAATTACCTCTCAAATTATTATTTATTTCTATCAGGGTACAAACGGATCACAGCTATGGGACACTGCATTTGCAGTACAAGCATTTCTTGAGGTACATATCTTTATTAATAAAGCCGAATTTGGCACATAACCGGTGATTTCTCTGATCAGTTGGGTTTGTTTTCTAAACAGGCAGGAGCCAAGGACATACTGAGGTTTACAGAATGCCTAACACAAGCCCATCATTTCTTTGATCTGACCCAGGTGAGGATGATTAAATCAATTTTTTTTAAAACATAATGTTCTTTATTATTACAACCTGTTTATGTATTTAGCTTTAACTTAACTACATTGGTATTGACAATGTTAAATTTGCTTATGTGCTAATCCAAATACAGTGGAGTCCAAAAGTGAGACCACATTGAAATAATTTTTTCTTTTAATTATGGAAATAATCAAAAAAAATTTTCTTTTTAATTAAAACAAAATTAAACAAGTTTTGTTGTAAAATAAATGCATCGTTCAAGCTCACTAATCAAATTTGAACGAATTTGTGACATTTCCTTTGTACAAACGGTCAGTTTTTGCTTCCGCTGAAGTGCAAGAAAAAAGTCTTAATTTTAATTATATGTATGTTTTAAATATAAAAAGCAAAACAGAGACATTTCACTTGTACTCTCAGACCTTTGGCCCCCACTGAAATGTAATAATTTGGTCTCTATGTGAGGTCTAATCAGTTTTTAATTTTTATAGATCAAAGATAATCCTCCGGAATATAAGAAATACTATAGACAAATGAACAAGGTAAATATTTGTGTATTGCTTTTCAACTTTCTTAACCATTCTTAATCTGCTCTTCAACACTTTAATGAGTGTGTGTGTTCATGTGAATCAGGGAGGTTTTCCCTTCAGCACACGGGACTGTGGTTGGATAGTTGCGGACTGTACAGCGGAAGGGCTGAAATCTGTGATGCTGCTGCAGGAGCAGTGCGGTTTCCTCAAAGAAAAAGTTCCTGCAGAAAGACTCTATGATGCTGTCAATGTGGTAAAAGCCTTATTTACATTTCAGACATTTTTAACATTATGTCTGTGTCTTACCAGTGCAGAGCCACAATAAGCTGATTTACAGAACACTTATTATAGGAACAATCCCCTTGGAGCAACCTGTGGTTAAGTGTCTTTCTCAAGGGCACAATGAGCTTAAGCCACTATGCCACACCGAGCCTCTTTATGACTCAAATCTCATCAACTCACAGCATAGACAGTGTGCTCATCTTTAATCTCAGTCCCTCAAAAGTTTTATTTTTGTTCATTTTTACTAAGACAAATGAGTTCAAATGTAAGTTAATTGATTACATTCAGTATTTATTCATAGGCTTATATTATATAGTGTCACTTCTCTAATGCTCATCCATTGAAATTACAAAGTGTAATGCATCCAAACTCACAAGCCATGTCAGAGCAAACACACTAATTGTATACACTATTGTTCAAAAGTTTGGAGGTGGTGTGATTTTTAACTTTTTTTTTTGAAAAATGTTTTTGAAAAATGTCTCTTCTCTTATGGTCACCAAAACCATATTTATTTGATCAAAAATACAGTACAAGTAAAAATATTGTGAAATATAATTACAATTTTAAATCGCTGTTTTCTATGTTAATATGTTTTAAAATATAACACAAAATATAATTTCTTCAGAATTTCATTCAGAGATCATTCTAATGTGCTGATTTGGTGCTCAAGAAACATTTCTTATCATTATCAATGTTGAAAACAGTTAATACTTCATATTTTTTGTAGAAAACCATGATACATTTTTGTATGATTCTTTGATTAATTGAAAATTGTAATATATAAAAACTGCATTTATTTGAAATAGAAATCTTCTTTATTATAAATGTCACTTTTGATCAATTGAATGTGTCCTTGCTGAATAAAAGTATTAATTTTACTGACCCCAAACTTTCAAAAGTGTAGAGTAATTTTTTTTCATCTCTGTGATTTTGTTTCAGCTGCTAAGCATGAGAAATCCTGATGGAGGGTTTGCCACGTATGAGACCAAACGTGGTGGAAAACTGCTAGAGCTGCTGAACCCATCTGAAGTGTTTGGTGCGCATGCAGTAATATGTCATATTCAGTGCATTATCCATCGGTCTTGACATGTCTGATTCCACCTCTTTCTCTCCCAGGTGATATAATGATTGATTACACGTATGTTGAGTGTACCTCAGCTGTAATGCAGGCACTGAAACACTTTCACAGCGTATATCCTGAGCACAGAGCTGAAGAGATTAGGTACAGCCAAGCACAATTTTTCAGCATATTGTGGTTTGAAAGATGGTTTGGTTAAACCACATCTCTTGATCACATAGGACAACTCTTCAGCAGGGGCTGAACTACTGCAGGAGGGTTCAAAGACATGATGGCTCGTGGGAAGGGTAGGCGTTTGTCCTTTTATAATTAGAAACATTATTCTGTTGCTTCTTAGTCTGTTTATGAAGTATTCAGCTTGTCTTAGGTCCTGGGGAGTCTGTTTCACATATGGAGTCTGGTTTGGTTTGGAGGCATTTGCATGTATGGGCCACACTTTCCAAAGCGGGTATGTTATTTGTTTGTGTTCTCATGTTGATGTTCATTTAAAAAAATCATCAGTGTTCTTTTACTGCACTTTGCACTTTATTTAACCCCCTCATTCATTGCTTTTCTACGTTGCAGGTCTGTTTGTGTGGAGGTGAAACGCGCCTGTGAGTTCATGCTGTCGAAGCAGATGGAGGATGGAGGCTGGGGCGAGGACTTTGAGCCATGTGAGCAACGGCGCTACGTTCAGAGCAAGAACTCACAGATCCACAACACCTGCTGGGCTTTGCTGGGGTTGATGGCTGTCAGGTAACATCAGCACCAGAGTTTCAGGAGAACATTTAGCGTTTTTCAAAAGTGTTGATTTTTGGCAAATTCATGGCAAAAATTGGGGCTGCTTTTCCAAAACTGGAGAGTAAATTTATTTTAAAAATGTCAAATTTTTCAGAGTGATCGAGCGAGGCATTCAAGTTCTGATTGATAAGGAGCTGCCCAATGGAGACTGGCCACAGGTGAGCAAAGCTGTTGCCAGATCTCCAAAATTCATCTGGGGTCTCTCTATCGGTCTAATAACGTGCTGGGTTGTTTGCCTGTTTTCAGGAGAACATTTCTGGAGTGTTCAATAAAAGCTGCGCCATCAGCTACACCTCTTACAGGAATGTGTTTCCTGTGTGGACACTGGGCCGTTTCTCACGGCTCTACCCCTGCAGCCCTCTGGCTGGGAAACTCCAGCTCTAAGTCAGATACTGTGTACTTGTGCCTCAAATAAGCAATATCTGATCAAAGACAATTCTTATTTGAAACAAACCTGTTTGCTGCTCTTTAGAAAGTAGGACTGATTTATCAAAGTCTTTAGAATATTATCTACAGAATAGTTGATTCATTTTTGTGCTCCTTTAACCACGGGACAAAGGCTTTGTATTCTGTAGATGATTCTGTAATTAAATGTGATTTTCTGTACTCTTACAATAAATCGTTTTATATTTTGGCTTTATATTCTTCTTACTCTGTGTATGATTTATGTTTTATAATCCCCCCTCTGGTTTGAACTGATTGAAATCAGTTCAGTTTAATATTGTTGGGGAAACTGCACACTGCTCAGTAGTTTAGAATGCTCTATGTACAAGGTATGTACAAATTATTATTATTGCTTCAAAGATTGCAGGCTTTTATTTTCATCGTATATCCTACATTATGTATATTAACAGTGACATCTCTTCACATCTTTTATGACTCATTTAAACTATACCAAGTGTTAAGACATTTCAGCCAAAATTGAATTTTAACAAAAAGGACTGTTATTGTTCAAGATGAACACCACTGAATTAAAAGTATGTATATGTATGTATATATACATATATATATATATATATATATATAAAATTATTATTATTAAATGTTACATTTAGCACAAAACTGAATTTAAATGCGAACTTATTTAAATTTGAATTTATTTAAAAATAATTTTATTATCCAAAGTGGACCTAGTCCCCACCTGAATTAAATATGCAAAGTAATGAGGTCATGTGACATCAATGTAGCCAAAGACTACATTGACAAATATTGCGTAGTGTGTTGTGTCTCACATAATACTTTTTAAATAGTATGCTGTATGCATTGTGCAGTATTAGATTAATATTTCTTTCTGAGTCTGACTACAGCCCTGCTGAGCAAAGTATTTAGTACATTGTAAGCTCAGCAAACATAGCAGTGTTGGGGAAAGTTACTTTTAAAAGTAATGCATTACAGTATTGCGTTACTCCATAAAAAAGTAACTAATTACGGTACTTAGTTACTTTTTATGGAAAGTAATGCGTTACGTTACTTTTGCGTTACTTTTTAAATCTGGACAGGGCTCGCTTGTTTGTTTTTAAAATAAAAAAGTTATATTTTTGGCAAATATAAAAGCCTTTTCACACCAAAAGTGAAATGAATGCGCCTCAGGCTGAAGGGAAAGTACATTTACGTCCGTACAGTAGAATGCAGAAGAAGAAATTTCAACACACTTCAGCAATAAACAAAGACACACAAATGTTTGTCTAGAGTAATTTGTGCTTATTAGTACGGTTGAACTGGATCATCGAAGGTCAGAAGCAAAGACATTGGTTAATAGAATGGGATTAAATACATAAAGGATATTTGTGCTGTTTAACATTTAATTATTGCAGGTTTGCGTCATATTCTGAGTTGCATCTTCTGTTGCATACAGTAGCATCTTCTGATTTCTCTCAACATGGGGACAGGAGCCTTGTCAATCAATAAATTGGAAAAAAAAGTAACTTGCGTTACTTATTTGAAAAAGTAACTCAGATATTATCTTGTAAATTAAAAAGTAATGCATTACTTTACTAGTTACTTGAAAAAAGTAATCTGATTACGTAACTCTTATTACCCCCAACACTGGCAGTATGTACAAAAATGATGATGATGATGATTATTATTATTACATTTATATTGGGTGCAGGCTTTTATTTTGACATGCTGAAGCATTGTTTCCGCGTTCACGCTGCTCTAGGTTTATGGGTGAAGCCGGTTTAATGAACTGCCGATTTGAATTCCTCACTGAACATCTTTCAGTTTTGTGCGGTGTTGAAGTGCTTTCTGCAGCATGACAGGACGGAGATATGAATGTTAAAGTCACGGGTTAAAGGATGGCTTCAGGATGGCGGCAGCCTCGATCAGTTAGAGCTGCTTTACTCTTTAACACCATCATCATCCTCATCAGCCCCGGCGCACAGACGCACACCTGTGACCATAAAGTGCCCCTGCCTACAGAGGTCAGTCCCTCTTATTTGTTATTCTTTCTTCTGACTGTCAAATACTAGATTTGAGAATGTGCCTTCTTAATAACATATGAGAGTGTGCCTCCTTAATATCATGCCATGTTGTGCTTTTATCCCCCAAAATAAAAAATAACTCAGGTTGTCAATCTGCTAACGTCTCCTTTATGTTCCACAGAAGAAAGAAAGTGGCATTAGGGTAAATAAATGATGGCAGAATTTTTATTTTTGGGTTAACTATCCCTTAGTTAACTAAAGACATTTATCTGGATGATGTCACATTAAAGGGACAGTTAACCATAAAATGAAAAATCTGTCATCATTTACACGCCTTCAAATCTGTATAACGTTCTTCTGTAGTACATAAAGAAATGATATAGCAGTCCCAGCTTTTTTTTCCTATTCAGTGAAAGTCGTCCTTAAGTGCTCAAATAATCTATTCATATTATTTTAGCTGTACTTATAATAATCTCTGCTCTTTGTCATTCTAGGTCATACATAAAGTGTTTCTGAAGCCAGATAGATTGACCAAAAGAAGCACTGACCAGCAGTTAAAGATCCAAATAGAGTACGACTCCAGCTTGGATGGGTTAGCTATAAGTTTATCATTTATTTAATACAGTAATGCCACATTGTCATTGTCATACATTGACTTCACAATACCTTTATTGCTCACACAGGTTAGATGAAGCCAAAAGCAGCCTCGTGAAGGTACATTTTGACTTCTGTAGTCAAGGTTTTATCAATATGTAAAGCTAAATGTTATTTGTTAAATCTTAAATATAGCCTTTCACCTCTAAATAGGATGCATGCTTACATTATTGATCTTTTTCTGCTTTGTTTCAAGGACAAGCTCCTCCCACAGGCTATTGATTATCTTCAGAAGGCCTTCAGGGTTCGCAGGCAGTCAGGTCCAATATTACTGAGCAGGTAATTCTCTTCTAAGCTGGTATTGTCTGATAGCAAATCCTCTTAAAATTGCACTCAGCTATGTCCTTCTGGAAGCTTGGTGGATATTTAATCTCATTAGTGTCTTTTTTTTTTATCCCAATTAATTTTTTTCTTAATGATTAGACAATGTGCAACCAATCAGTACCTTAGGAAAAGAGATGACCCACATCGCTACTGTCAGGGACCATGTGCAGACATCACCAAGTGTGGCCCAGTCGTCGTCCCTGAACAACATTTGCAGGTAGACCCCCCCCCAAATATTTTGGCCAAAAATATTTCCTCCCTTATTTTGTTTATTCCTTATATTTTTTTTATTACAATATATTTGCTGCATATAAACCATACAGATTAGTAAAAAAACTAAACAAACAAACTTTAAGACATATAGTGATTTTGTTCCACATTTTTTTTGGTAGCTTAATATGAGCAATATTTCACAATACCCATTTCATACTGGTGTGAATTACTCAACCAAGCCTATTTATTTCACCCTTTGGTGCTTGGCAAATGTTGATTTTGGACTCCCTTGATTTCACCCTAAATTATAATAAGCATTGTATGAAAATTAAGATGCGTATGTTAGTCTTTGACGTAGGGCTGCACGATTATGACAAAAATCATAATTGTCGATTATTCCTTTGAAATTGTAATTGCGATTATTAATTACGATTAAATGAATGATGTTTACACCTTTGTTTGAAGCAACTGCATGCCATATTTTTATATGAAAATAAACAAGCTGAAAACACTAACTAAAATAAACTTTTATTGCTTTTCTATAGTATTAAGCCTCAAATGTCAACTATACATTGGATTGGTTTCTTCTTTAAATAAAAAGGTAAAAATATGCATGGTATTATAATGTTATACTAAAACTAAAATTAAAACAATGGAAAAGCCCTTAAGATAACATGTAGAAAGAAAAAAAGCATCTTAAGCATGCCGAATAACATAAGTGAACTTTGAATGATTAATTGCTGCTTTGAACTGTTATGTAATTGTGGCATCCGTAATTGTAATCGTGATTAGAAATTCGATTAATTGTGCAGCTCTACTTTGATGTAATTGGTGCAGTTCGAGTAGCTCTATTGATGGTTATGTTTATATATTCAATTCTGTGTTTGAAATTTAACAAAACAATGATCTATATAAACATACAGAAGCATCATGCCTACTTAAAGATCTATTTGAAGTGGATTTGTTTAAATGGGAAAAAAAATTCTAATGCTGATAAATGTAAATATGAGAATTTTTGAATCTTAGAATGAGGTCTCCTTTAGCAATGCAGGGTTTGCAGTGAGTCTGGCAAGTCCTGTGGCCCCGTTGGTCCTCCCGATGGTGAGGGGGTGGCGAGGGCAGATTTTGTGTTGTACGTGAGTGCGATGACCACAGAGCGTTGTGGACAAGAGAACATCGTAGCCTATGCAGCGTACTGCCAGCTGGAGTCTGAACTGGACAGGTAATGGCAATAATTAATGAGATGGGAATGTATGGTGATTTTGATTTGCTTTACAATATACTGTGGAAAATAGTCCAGTGTGTTGCTGACAGTAACGGCTGAATTTCTTAATGTAGACCCATCGCTGGATATGCCAATTTGTGTCCCAATATGATCTCCACTCAACATCAGGAGTTTGAAGGGATGCTGTCCACAGTCAAACACGAGATCATACATGCCCTGGTAACAACATTAAACTCTGCACATCCGCATGAGTAGAGCTTTATAGTTTTCATTATTGTACAATTATATGTTCTATATGTTTTAAGGGTTTTTCTGCAGGACTCTTTGCCTTTTACCATGATGATGATGGGAAACCTTTGACACCACGTTCTGCAAGTGGTCTACCTGCATACAATGAAAGGTGATGGTTATATTTGTATTTTTATTTGTTTGAAATATAATTTAAAAATATTTCATAATATGATTTTTTTTATTATTGTAACACTGTGATATTTATATTGCATGATTATTACAGGTTAAAATTGTTATTATTGTTGGTAAAAAAAATGCATGATATATGTATATAATGTACCTTTTATGGTTAAACTATTATATATATAGTACTGTGTTTATTTCTTTTTATATATCTCTCTCAGTTTAGGGTTATATCAATGGAGTGATAAAGTCATTAAAAGAGCAACTCGGCTGTGGGACATCCGTGGTGGCCACATGGTTAGACACACGGTCCATCTTCTGGCCACCCCGCGTGTAGTTGTAAGTATTTCTTTCATTTTAAAACCGGGGTGTCAAATT